CCCTGCCCTTGTCCCAAGTCCCTCCCCAGCTTTCCTGGAGCCCCTTCAGGCCCTGGAAGGTGCTCTAAGGTCTCCCTGGAGCCTTCTCTTCTCCAGGCTGAACACCCCAACTCTCCCAGCCTGTCTCCAGAGCAGAGCTGCTCCAGCCTTCACATCACCTCCGTGACCTCCGCTGGATTTTCTCCAGGAGCTCCATGTCCTTCTTATGTTGGGGGCTCCAGAACTGGACACAGTACTAAGCTCCCACCACTTCTGTACCCACAGGCCAGGCAGTTGAGAGCAGAACTGCTATCAAAGCCGCTCCTGCTACCTCGTTCAAGCTCCCTGATTTATTTAGCAAATTTTTAAAACCAGCAGATGGATTTACATGGGGGAATCTGATTAGTGGTGGTATTGATCTGTGCTGTGCAGAGCTGCAGCAGCTGCAGAGCAGGGTGAACTGCATGACAATCACCAGCACCCACTCCCCCTGCCCGGGCAGCTCAGCAAAGAGCCCCAGACTTGCTTACCCAGCAGGACCATGCTTATCCTTTGACTCCACAAATTCTTGTCCCATTTTCAGCTTCTCCCACTCTTCTTTCCTGGTTTTGATTTTCCGTGGATTCACATTTCCTCGGTTTGGATTCTCCTTCTTCTCTTTCTAAGGGAGGAGGAATCAAAAAGAAGCCTTAGTTTGCTTTCAACTCACTGGGAATAGGGAGGGCCGGGACAAACCTGTAGCAGTTTCAAGAAGACAGAGACTCAGAGAGAAGATTTTTAATTTACTTTCCTGATGGCTGCAAGCTCCCAAGATCTCCCATAACAAGAAGGTGGAGCACCCAAAAAAGAAAGACAGCATCAGATTTTCCCAGTGCAGCCCAGACATGATGCCATCATTACTCCCTGGCACTATCACCTTGAGGGCAGAGTGAAAGTTCAGTTTCCCACCTCAATTCAGGTGTTGTTTTTTTTTGTCTCTGTGTCAAGCCTGATCAATCTCACCATCACCTCGCTGGTGTTAAGTGCTTTGGATGGCAATATGGAGACTTGTCCACAAAGAACTGGCCTCACTCTCTGTGTTCTAACATGCCCACAATCTCTACTTTGGGATTTTGACTGAAAAATCCTGATCTGTTTGGATATTTAATACTTTAAAGCTAAATAAAGTGTGCTCAAACTGAATCTTTTGTGGTGTGAGTTTCAATATTGGTAAACATGGGTCTAAATCCCCAGGCAAGCAAACCAGCTGCAGTTTGCAGCTTAAATGAATCATGTTATAGAATCATGGGATGGTTTGGGTTGGAAGGAACCTTAAATATCATTTAGATCCAACCCCTGCATGGGCAGGGACACCTCCCACCTGCCCAGGTTGTTCCAAGCCCCGTCCTGGGCAACCTGGGCCAGGATCTCACCACCCTCACACCCAACAATTTCCTCCTCATGTCCAGCTTCAATCTCCCTCTTCCAGTTTTAATCCATCCCCCTTGTCCTCTCCCTCCCTGCCCTTGTCCCAAGTCCCTCCCCAGCTTTCCTGGAGCCCCTTCAGGCCCTGGAAGATACTCTAAGGTCTCCCTGGAGCCCCTTCACAGTTTTGTTAAGCCTCCCACTTGCCCCTAATTTAACAGTAGGGCCTGGTTTTGCACTCCAGAAGGGACATTTTCTCCTTTCTCTGTCCTTCCATCCTAGGATTTATTACACCATCAACACACTGCAGTGCTGGGGCAGTGGGATTTGCACAGCTTCAACACTGAGCAGACCCCTACACAACATCAGAAGTGCAGAGGAGTTTCCAACACAACCTCCTCCCCTGCTGACTGCACCAGTGCTATGTTTGAGGACTACAAACGAAGCCATTATAACCATACAAAGAGGGTGGCATTTGGAAAAAACAAATTAAGGGTATCTTTGTTTTCTTTTTTTAATTAACAAGGATGAGAGTAAACCAGATTAAAAAAATAATTCACTCAATTGTTCCCTAAAGAATTCAAGAGAGGAAACTCAAATTCTGGATAGCAACTTTGGAGTCCAAGATTCATTAACACTTCCCACCTCCTATTCTTCCCTGACATGCCTCTGTTGGCAGAGATTTCCCATTTCCTCACCCTGTGTTTCCGCTTCTCTTTCATAATATCCTTGGTGTCCTGAAGCATTTTCTCTTTCCAAAGGTCAAAGAAATATGAAGGATCTGTGTAGAATTTAAGTGCCTCTTTGCCATCATCCCTGGAATGGGGAGTGGGGGGTGGGGAAAAAACACACAAACAAGGACCAAGTCACACATTTGTTTGAAACCCAAAGAAAACACAAGGCACAACCCAGATGACAGTTTAAATGTCCTCAGTGTGAAGGTCAAACACAAACTCCTCTGGCTTCCATTTCAGGACAGGCAGCAGCCCCATGGCCTCCCACTTGCTCTCCCACTTGGTGGGAGGACAAACGTGGAGGCAAACTCTCCACTGCTCAGCACCTGAAGGGCTCGACTGAACACTCCAAGAGAGCAGCAGGTCTCTCACTTCAACTCCCACTTGTTTGCATTGTGTTTTTGGCATGGAAAAAACAACACAAAACAACCCTCTGCAGTCCAGGAACCCTAAATCAGACCAGCAGTGTCCTTGAAACTCATGAGTGAGCACACACACCCACACCCATTCTCTCCTCCTACTTTGCAGTGCAGCCATGTCTGGCAGAAGACAGCTGCCTCCAGCTATCTGTAATTACTTTTTACCTGTTCAAAAGATATTTATGGATGTGGGCTAAGTCTCTGTATCCTGACCCCCTTTACTTCTACTACCTACAAGATGAAATCCAATTGGGACTGCTCAGGAGAACTGGTTACACAGATATCTCAGCCCAGGCACAGGAGGTCACAGAAAGGCATCTCCAGACCTACAGGAGGCTGCTGCACCCACCTGGGTGAGAGCCATTTACAGATGTATGCTCTGCAGCTTGCACTGCACCTTTCTGGAAAGGAGCCACAGGGCTACAGAGAAGCAGAAGAAAAATGCATCATCTGCACAACACCTAGCATGTTTATGCAGTGCCAGCCAAGCCTTGCCCCAAGGCAGGCACAAACCTGACAGCAGGTAACCAAATACATCATTTTCTAGCTCTGTTCATTTCTACAGCCCCAAAAGCAAAGTTTCAGGTAATCCACAGGATGGAGATTTCCTGATGGATCTCAGTTTAGCAACTCCATTGCCCATTGGAAATGGCTACTTTAAGAAAGTACAAAATGGGAAATGATGTCCTTGGCAGTTTGGGAGAAGGGAACAAGGGGGTGTTGCAGCCATACCTGTAAGGTGTGAGGATGTTGAGAGGTGGAGGAGTATTGCAGGTCCTATAGGTTTCAAGGACAGGCACTGGGAGAGAATCTCTGTCAAAGAGCTTCTGGTCCTGAGTAGTGGAGCTTTTGAAGGCCTTCCTGGTGTTAATGCCTTGCAGGGAGACTGTAAGGAAGAGGAGGGAGCAAGTGAAGAACAACTTAACCCAGGCCAGTTGACACTGAAGATCAAGTAGGGAACATCTGATTTCAGTTGGAGTTCTTGGCATGCTTAGCACTTCTTAAGGTCAGGTTCCCTTTCCCACAGATCCCTGGGGAAACCCAGCACATCTCAGATCATGCTGTGCCAAGATCTTCTGCTGTGTAGACACGGCTCCCTCGGGAGTTGCCAATGTGGTTCATGAAGCCCTGCAACCAAGCCTGGAGAGGTGCACCACCACCAAACTGCTGAAAAGCCAGTTTCCACATGGAGACTTGCTAACAGGCAAACCTAGACTCAGCCAGAAAGGCAACCCACATGAGCAGAATGGTGCTTTTTTTTTTTTTTTTTTTCAGGAGGGGAGGAAACAGTCCCTCTTGGTCCAAGAGAAGACATTCCAACACCCGTTGCAGCCTCAACACTCATTTTATGGCTCCAAACCAACCTTGCTGACTCAATAAGAATCTCTACCATGCTTGGTCTGCAAGGACTGTGCTCCACTCCATTACCTTCTTCCTCTTTGGGATCCAGCTGAGTGACTTTGACTTGCAGGCGGTCAACTCTCTTGACTAGAGCGCTCATCCGAGAGGCAAAGGTGTTGGCTTGAGTAAACAACTCTCCAAATATGTCTTCTGCAAATTTACCTGGAATATTAAAATGCCCACATTACCCTCGTGAGCCACACCAGACCATATTCAGCCTCCCAGCTTGTTTCTTGAAGAAGGAATCAATAAAGAACAAACCATGCTTCTTTTCAAGTTTGGCAGGGTTGAGTTCAACATCCAGGAAGGAAACGCTCTGTTCCACCAAAACCTGACATTTTCAAGGCATCTTCCAGCAATAAAGAAACAATCAAGACATCCTTTCATGTCATTATTAAAGCAACAGAAGAAAAAAGGGTTGACAACACTATACTGGTCTGGAATCTAGATGGGTCTGTGGGTCCTTTAAGATTCTCTGTTGTTCTGTTTATTAAACATGCAAACACAGTTTTTTTATTGCTCTGGAGAATCTCAAGGGCTCCCAGTCTCCAGCAGACCTGCCTCCAGGGTAACTGGCACATATTTACAAGCTCAAAGTACTCTGGAACTAGAGAGCAGACCCAGTCCTTGATCCTAAAGCCTCAGCTCTAACCACAGACGAAAGCACTGACCCTTTTGTTCCTTCAGGTGGCAGTGTCTGAAAAATTGATGCATGCATGTTTATTCTAAAATCAAAACCCAAGGAGAACTTCTCAAAGAGGGATATTCTCTCTGTAACAGCTTGGATTGCCCAGTGGGCTGCTCTGACAAACATCATCCATCGTTTGGACTGTTAAGAGTGCCTGGATCAGGAGCTCACTGCACCACTTAAAATTTAACAAAAGAATGTTCCCTGCTCTTAAGAGTTTAAAATCCATGTATGCAACAAGAGATGACCACAGGTAGACAGAGATGGGAGAACTGGAAGAAAACCAAGAACTTAGTAGTGTCTTTCTGTTCTGTTCTCAGGGTCTTTTTGTTCTGCTCTCAGAGCTAACCCAAGCCAGGGAGCCCTAACCATGAAGAGGACAACACTGATCAGAACAGAACTGGCACTGACAGCAGACACAGGCCCATGGAGTTCCCACTGATGGGAAACATTTCCAGCCACGGCTGTTGAATCCAAGGCTGCTCCCAAAAAGCAGTCTGGTTTCAAAGTGCATCATCATATGGTCAACAGTTTGCTCTGGAATCTGTTACTCCTGAAGATCCTCTCTGACATTCAGGAAAGGATAACCAGTTGGAAACCTAACTTGAACAGCACTTTTGGAAAACCTGGTTGTCTGCAATGTGCCACAGCAGAAAGACAAGCCCTCCTTCCATGAGGGAACAGGAGGGCATCCCCCAAAGCTCAGCTGCACAAACACTTCCAGCTATCTCCACGGACCTATCAGCTCCTGGTTCACACGCTTCGTGCAGTTCTCCTTACACTGCCAAGCATGGGGAACCAGGCAGGTTAAAAATCAACCTCCTCCACCCCCTTTTGGTGGCAACCCCAGCTTGAAGTGTTTGTACAAAGCAAATGCTGAAAGTTAACTTTGACTGACCTCCTCCTTCCACTCTCCTAGACAATACAGATTCCATGTACACTCCGTTTAGGAACCCAACCAGGCTTCTCCAAACTCATGAGAAGGATTTTATTTCTGGGGACCTAAGAGGCAGGTAGCTCTTAAGCAACCTTTGTGTTCAACACTAGCAGAAGACCAGCTCTCCCATTTGACCAAAGAGAGTGAACACTGATCCCATCAACAGCTCAAAAAAGAAAAGTTGCAATTGGGTTTCTAATTCAGTGAGAACTGAAAATCATTGCTGAATCTCACAAGGAAATGCAACAAACATCAGGGAAAGGAATTAAGTCTTTGGTTTGCAATGATGAG